AAAATTGGGGGGGGGGAAGGAGGGGTACCCAAAAATTTGACCCGAGGAATTGGAGTTTTGTATTATCGGAAAAAAAATCAAAAAAAAAATTGGGAGGGGGGGTGAAGTGGGGGGGGGGGAACCCTCAAAAATTTGACCCGGGAGAGCCAGAAAATTAAAAAAAATTTGAAAAAATTGGGGAGCGGGGGCGATCCGGACGACGCTGAGAAGGCGCAGCAAAAGGCGCGGGCGGGGCGTGGACGGGTGCAAGGGGGCGGGGGGGTTGAAGGGCGCGGGGGGGGGCCGGGGGTCGGTGCTAGGGGGGGGCCCAGTGGGTGGGGGCGGGGGGGGGTGGGCGGGGGGGGGGGGTCGTGGGTGTGGTCGTGGGTGGGGGTGGGGGGGGGTTAAGGTATTGCTTATGGTGTGAAAAAGATCTTAGCTATAGGTGTGAAAAGGAGCCACTAGGAAAGGAGCCACTCACCCGCAGCCCTTTCAGGAGGAGCCATCTAGGGGACCCACTCTGTAGAATGACCCATGGCCCCCCTTCATCATACTTATTTTTTTATTTTATATATATATATATATTATTATATATATTATATATTTATTATATATTTATTTTTTTCACATGGCCGATTCCCACCAAGGCAGGGGGGCCCCCAAAAAAAAAAAACTTTCCCATCATTCACTCCATCATGCTTGCCAGAGGGTGCTTTACATACTTTTTTAAAAACGCAACATTAAACCCCCCTTCAGAGTGAGGCACTGTATTTCCCATCTCCAGGCTAAAAGCCCCGGCCTGGGGGGGTTTTCCCGAACCCCTTTTCATAAATGTTACTTTGCTCACATCCAACAGCACGTCAAGTATTAAAAAACCCCATTTGTCTCCTTCACCTATAAAACCGTCATGCATCCCTGCGGGGGAAAGCCAGCCCCTCGCCACAAAACCTTTTTCCCCCCTCCCCCCAAACCCTTTTCCTGGCCCCAAAACCTCCCGCCTTCCTTCCCTACAGACTGATCACTCTTGAAGTCATTCTGTTTCGCTCCCTTTCCCCTTTACATGTCCGAACCACCTCAACAACCCTTCCTCAGCCCTCTGGACAACAGTTTTGGTAATCCCGCACCTCCTCCCTAACTTCCAAATTACGAATTCTCTGCATTATATTCACACTAAAAATTGCACTCAGACATGACATCTCCACTGCCCCCAGCCTTCTCCTCGCTGCAACATTCATCACCCAGCTTCACACCCATTTTTAAGAGCGTTGGTTAAAACTATACTCTCAAAATTTCCCCCTTTTTGCCTCCAAGGACAAAGTTCTTTGTCTCCACAGACTCCTAAGTGAAACCACTCACTCTTTTTCCCTCATCAATTCTATGATTCACCTCATCTTTCTTTAGAACCCACCCGCTGCACGTCCCACTCCCAAATATCTGAATACGTTCACCTCCTCCATGCTCTTCCCTCCAATCTGATATCCAATCTT